CTCCCTCCCCTCCCTCCCTCCCTCCCTCCCTCCTCCTCCCTCCTCCTCCCTCCTCCTCCGCCTCCCTCCTCCTCCTCTGACAGCCCAGACCTGGCCCCACACGGACGGGGCACTGAGCGCGGCGGGGGCGACGAAGGGCACCAGGGGCTGGGTCACCACGCTCCTGGGCTAGCCGACGCGGCGCGACGGGCGGGCGAAGGGCGAAGCACCCCCTCCCTCCCAGACCTCGCATGCAAGAATAGAGGCCTCCTAGATGGGGAGGAGAGGGAGGAGGAGGAGGAGGAGGAGGATGAGGAGCAGGCCTCCTAGATGGGGAGAAGGAGGAGGAGGCGGAGGAGGAGGAGGCGGAGGAGGAGGAGGGGTCGGAGCAGATGGGGTCGAAGGATCGCGCCGCATAGCCAGTGCATCGCCGATGTATCGCCGATGCATCGGCGATGCATCGGCGACGTCGGCGTAGGGAGACACGGTCTCCACATCGAGCCGCATCGTCGATGCATCGACGATGCAGTGCGATCCTCCGACCACATCTACTCGGACCCCATCTAGGAGGCCTAGAAAGAAACGGTCACGAGGAAAACGGGTTCTGGACCCCGGGGGCGTCCCCCAGAACCAGATTTCCACCCTGAGTCGTTCTGTGTACAATCCTGGGGCCCGCAGAGAGCCCCGAGGACCAAAGAACAACGAAACAACTCAGGACCCGTTTCCCTCAGGCCCGGCTTCCTTCAGGACCAGCGGACTTAGGGCAGCACCGGGCGACATCACGAACGATCAATCAACAAGCCTGCCGCACTACACGGCCGGCAAATGCGCATTCGTACACGACGGCCGGCAAATGTCAAAACCAAAGTGACAGGATAAAGCAAACCACGCAGGCCCTCCCCGGTCACGGCCTCTCCAATCCCTGCGGGGCGCACCCCATGGCGTTTAGACGATCTTCGTTTATCGCGAGACAAGACGCAGCTCTTCGAATGCTGTAAGACAGACCAGCGAATACAGCCGAACGCCACTATCAATATCAACCCAATGGATATCACGACAGCGTGATCGCTGGAAGCTTCCGCAACGAAGAGGCCGTCCAACAGAGCGTCCACCACCGCTTGATACTGCCTGACCTCCTCTGCGCGATACTAACGACATTCCCCGTTGCGCTTCCACCAAAGGGGCATTCAGAGGCCAGGTGAAATCGAACACTGATTTTGCCCATACCATGAATGCAAACGCGGATTTAGGGACAGATGCTTCCCTCATGGATATATCTCTCAAACGCAAAACGATGTTGACAGCCTCCAGCGTCCACGGGTCCCGTCCTAAGGCGACAGCCCATTTCCGCAGCCGCTCCACATGACGCATGTGGTTTCTCATTGTTGTCGTTGCAACGCTCCTCCGTTTTGTGATTAAGGGGCCGAGCAAATCCCACTAGCCCTCTGGGCGCAGGTGGTCTAACGATGACTTTCTTTCCTCTTCCAAAAACCCTCTTCCCCTTCGGGGAGGGTTTAATCACTGTACCACTATGAATTAACACCCCCTCCCCCAGGCGACTGGGGGCCAACCAGGGTCCATGACAACACCCCCCCCACCATCCCTTGTCAAAAACAATACAAGACACACTCTGCCTCCAGATTCGGAACATGCGCAGCCAACCCGATGCGGCCCCCCCACCATCCCTGTCAAAAAACAGTACAGAGTACACTTGGCGGCGGCGGCGGCTGCGGCGGATGCGGCGGCGGCTGCGGCGGCTGCGGCGGCGGCGGCGGCGGCTGCGGCGGGGACCCCCCACCACCATCCCTTGTAAAAAACAATACAAAAACACACTCCGCCTCCATGTTCGGAACATGCGCAGCCAACCCGATGCGGCCCCCCCCACCATCCCTGTCAAAAAACAGTACAGAGTACACTTGGCGGCGGCGGCGGCGGCGCGGCGGCGGCTGCGGCGCAGCGGCGGCGGCGGGCAGCGGCGGCGGCGGCGGCGGCGGCGGCTGCGGCGCGGCGGCGGCTGCGGCGCGCGGCGGCGGCGGGCAGCGGCGTCGGCGGCGGCGGCGGCGGGGACCTACAAAACACACTCCGCCTCCATATTCGGAACATGCGCAGCCAACCCGATGCGGCCCCCCCCACCATCCCTGTCAAAAAACAATACAGAGTACACTTGGCGGCGGCGGCGGCGGCGGCGCGGCGGCGGCGGCGCGGCGGCGGCGGCGGCGCAGCGGCGGCGGCGGCGGCGGCGGCGGCTGCGGCGCGGCGGCGGCGGCGGGCAGCGGCGTCGGCGGCGGCGGCGGCGAAGGCGGCGAAGGCGGCGAAGGCGGCGAAGGCGGCGAAGACGGCGGTTGCTACGTATGTGTTGGGAGGGCGGGTGGGAGTGAGCGAGACGGCTTGCGAGCGGGGAGGGAGTCTTGATCCCTCCCCCTACCCCCTCCCCTGGACCTGGACGGGAGGGGCCGCGACTGGTTGGAGCGTCCAAGATGGCCTCAAGATGGCTCCAAGAGGGCCTCAGAGAGCCCAAGATGGCCTCCAAGATCATCAAGATAGCCCAACATGGGTCAAGATAGCTAACAACATGCCTCCAAAAAGCCCCAAGATAACCACAAGACGGTTCCAGGTGTTCTCGGAAACCCCTCAGGACCCCTCCAAGAGCCCAAAATCCTTCTCGCCGTTTGGCTTCCGACGCGTTTCTGAGGCCTCAAGATGGCCTAAGAAGGTCCCAAGAGCGGCCCAAGAGGCCCCCAAGACGGCCCTAAGAGCGCTCAAGAGCGCCCCAAGAGCGCCCCAAGAGGGCTCCAAGAGAGAGTTTTGAGGGCCACAGGGGGGGGACCTCGATCGGGACCCCTCCTTTGATCGATGGCCTCGAAGATGGCCCCAAGAGGCGCTCCAGGGCTCCCAAGAGAGCCCAAAGAGAGCCCCAAGAGGGCTACAAGAGGGTCCCAAGAGGGCCCCAAGATGGCCCCAAGAGGGCCCAAAGACACCCCAAAAGAGCGCGAAGATGGTTCCAAGATGCGGTGTGTTTTTGTTGTTCCTTGCTCGCGCTCGGCAAATGCTAGTCTTACTGGAACGACGCTCAGCGGATCCGGCGCGAAAAACCTACTAATAGCAGCTGCTATTCGCTATCCAAGCGTGACAGCACTCCTGCAAAGGCAGCCCTCTGGGCATCGAGCCGATAGGCTGCCCTGCTCTGTGGTGGCCCAACTAGCCCCGTCTCCCATCCTGCAGATTTGCTGTATCTGAACTTGCCTGCGCTCAAACCGCACTTACACAGAATTGCAGCGGCGCGTCAATCCAGTTCAAAAGTTCACGGCTTCCGCTCACAGAAAAGCCTGGGCACAGGAGCAGCGGGGCCTCAACGGCCGATGCTGGACCTCCGTGGGCAGGCCGCCTGGGCGGAGAGCAGCAGTGGGAGGCAGGCAGAGATAGAGAGAGAGAGAGAGCGCGAGAGCGAATATGAGGAGGGAAAGATGGAGGGAGGCAAACACTGCGGCACGGCGGTCCTCCGCGCTGCGCTGGCCAACTTGAAGGAGCTCTTACTCGCCGGCGCACTGCATACCCTTAGCAACATTTGAAAAGCTCGTTGTCTGACGAACTGGCCACGAGTCCAACAACTTGGCCCATAGTGTGGGCGGTCTGCCCGAGAGCACTGCTGTCGACAGCCTGAGCTCAATATAGGTGCCGTCTGCGCTGCGGACATCAAAAGTGGCAACGATACATTCAGCTTCGCCGCTCAAAGAAGTCTCTAAACTTCAGCGGCAAGACCAGCTCATCCCGAGGCAAGCCCGGCCGATGGCATGCGGCGGGTCGAGGATGCCGCAACCAGCGTGGGCAAGCAAACTTGGAGCAGCAAAAGGTGATCGGGGTCTCCGAGCACGGAAGCAGCAAACATGTGGGCGGATCCTGAAAGCGAGCACGAATCAATCATTACCAACATGTTGGAACATGTAGAAACCTGCGAAGTGCGTCCGCCGCCCACTGTCTGCAGCCTTCCCTTGGACTGCCAGCGTCCACTCCGCATGCAGTAACGGGCCACCGCCTGGCGCCTGGCCGCGTGAACGAGTGGCACGCGTGCCCTGGCTCTTGCACCAAGGAGATGCTAGAGACAGGAGGCTTTCGCCTTCTTCCTCCAGGAGTTTACTTTTGTGGCCGCAGGCGGGAGGACGAACGACGAACGAACGAACGACGACGACACACGAAAATCAAGAGGTCCGAGCTCTAGAGCACAGCTGTGCAAAAGAATAATTACATAAAGTGCCGCGACTGCCAAGTGAGCCCACCAGCGCAGGGCGACACAGGGCCCACAGCGAGACGCATCTACCATGCAGTGTGCTCTTGAAGCCCCTACATTCCGTGGACAGGCTGAAGCGTCTTGACTTCTTCGCAGCGCCGGTGCACACTTGAAACCGCACCCAGCCTAGAGCTGCGAACAAAGCTACTGCCCACGCCGCATGGAACCGCAAAGAGCTGGCATCTGGATACGGGCTGAGCGGTGCAACATTGCTTTGGACCGCGAGGCCTTGAGCGGGAACGGAATCTGCATACCAGATTGGAATAGAGCAGGCTTGTAATCATCAGGTACGGCATGCTTGCACATGATAGGGCAGTTTCGGTATCGCGCAACATTCGCGCGCAGCCCCTGCACTGCACCCCAACACACGGCACACACTTTGCGGCACCCGAGAGCCGTCCATGCTGCGAAACCATGGAAAACCTTCCAAAAATGCAACGCCTGCTGATGAGTCGTCATGTTCACAAATGCATAACCAAGGTTACACGCAGAACCGAAGTCAATAGGAAGATAGATCAGATCGAACTGCCCCGAGAAGCCCTTGCTGTTCAGCAGATCGATCAGACGGGCCCGGGTAAAGGTGGTGGGCAGGTTGCGCATCATCACTGTGGTCCGTTGGTCGCTGCTCAATCCATCGGCTGATTCCATCTTTCCCATCTTCAGCTCTGGATCAGACCTGGTAGCCTTGACGCTGAGGGGGCTGCAGGGGCTGCCCGACCTCTGCTGAAGATGCAAATTGTCGCTCGAAGCCGTCTGCTGACTGTCGTCATCGGCGGAGCTAGAACACTCGGAAATGGTACTGCTAGAGAGGAAGCTCTGGGTGTGGACCCACATTGGGAACAACGGATCCACGACATCCTCAGAATCCCTGCTGTTCCACGTATCCTTTCCGACCGATTCACGAGAAATGAAGCCTGGCGAATGAAGCCGACCGACCTTCATAGGTTCCTCGCGAGAGAAACTCACCTGTGTTTTTGAAAGCATATCCAGCCCCGATGCGTTCTCAAAAGTGCCAATCATTTGCGCTGGGTTGGGACTGCTGCAATCGATACAGACTTATGCGTAAATTGATGGCAAAATTAGCTTCACCAGGACCACAAAGGCGTGAGCCAAACCGACTTGGGCAACAAATGCTTGAGCCAAAATGACTACGGACTCTCAGGTGCGATGTTGAGGGCTCATGAAGGGGGGGGGGGGGGGGGGCGACATCGACAACCCCTCCTCACTTGATCGATGCTCTCCAAAATGTCCCCAAGGTGCTCTCAAGGGCCCCCGAGAGGCTCCAAAGAGGGTTCAAGATCCTCCTTGTCCTCGTCCTCATCCGCGTCCTCGTCCTCCTGGCCCCCCTCGTCCTCCTCCTCCTCCTCCTCCTCCTCCTCCTCCTCGTCCTCTTTGTCCTCCTCCTCCTCCGCCTCCTGTTCCTCCTCTTCCCTTCGCCCCCACGCAGCACCCAAGGATGGCTCGAAAAGGCCTTCACAGGCCACCCCTTTGCTCGCTTTGTGTCCCTAGATGTGTCTCTTCGCGTCCGTTCCAACTCTGAAGGTCAGGGTTTCTGAATGGGCTGGTGGGGATTTTTGTTCGCGAACGCAGCGGAAGTGCCGAACGCCGCCCGAAAGACGCAACACTCTGGCCACGGCCTAATATGCGCAAGCGGGAGACAGAAAGAGAGAGGCAACGAGAGAACAGCGGGGAGGAGACAACAGGAGGCGGGCCTCGCTGCTCGTCAGAAGTGCGCCATCGCCTAAGGGGGTGAACCGCCAGCGGGCTACAACGGCAAAAGTGGCGCGGGGGAGTTCAGGTTGAACGAGTCCGCGAGCATGCCAGTGAGTAGGCGCACCACGAAGAGCAGGCGCCAGGACCAACGGACACACCGTCACATGGATAGCGGGCTTCCACCACGCATATCCAGCCGTCAACCGACGCACATGCAGGAGCTCGACGGACCAGAGCCCAGATCGCCAAACACCGCCAAAGACTAATGTCGAGGCCCCGTCCCACGAAGCGGGGAGTGCAGGCGGACGCGCACCCTCCAGGCTGGGGCCGATCCCGGCGAGCGAGGGCCCCGAAGCGCAACATGGAAACGACCAGCCGGAGCATGTCGGACCTCGCTCGGGAAGCGACGGGACCACCACCCGCGCGGCAAGGGACGACCCGAACCCGCAGACCCAAGACCAAGACGGGCGTGAGAGGCTGCCGCAAGCCGAGAGCCGCGATAGCGGAGGGGCCGCGGCGGCGAGAGGGCAGCAAAGGGCGGGCAGGCGACCGGGAGGGACGGCCCGCGCCCGCCGTGCGGCTGGGGGGGGGCCCAGGCGGCACCTTTGCGCGGCGCGGAGGCCGCTGGGCGGTGGCGCCGCGGCCAAGAGGGCCACGACAGTGAAACGCCCCCAACGCGCATGGTGCCCCAGAAGCAGAGGCGGGTGTAGAGGCGTCGAAGGGGCCCCGAGCGGCCCACGCGGGGCGCGGGGCAAGGGGGGTGGCCCGGCGCCAGGGAGCGAGGGGCCACAAGCTACACCATTGACGAGGACGCACCGGCGGGCAAGGAAACAACGAGACCAGGCGCAAGCCGCCAGCCCCAGCCAGGGCGCGCGCCTGGCAGCATTGGGCGCGAGGCCAAGGCGGCCCGCGGGGGGCCGCAGGGAGGGCCGGCGCGGCGCGGGCAGCAGCGGGCGATGGCGGAGAGGGAAGAGGGCGGGGGCGGAACGCGGAGAGCGCGCGAGGCCGGCCAGAAAGCCAGCACCCAAATGGGGGGGGGGCGACAGAATCGCGAGCGTGGGCGGGCGGAGAGGCGACTAACGGTCGCAAGTACCTGAAACTCGCTCGCGGGAGTACGAGGGGAGGAGGCGCGCCGAGCGCAGGCCGGCAGGAGGGCCGGGGCCAGAAAGGGGGGGGCGACAAGGGCGGCGAGCATGGGGGGACGGAGAGGCGACTAAAGGTCGCATGCGCCCGTAAAGAGTGGCCGAGGCGGCGAAGGAGCAGCGAGGCGGAGAAGCGAATAACGGTCGCCTGCACTGGCGCAAGCGGCGCCCGGGGGGGCAGGAAGCCCAGGGGGGGGGGGGCATCCAGGGGGGTCACCAGGGAGGGGGCCGCGCCCCTGCGGTGGCGCGTGCCAGGGCCGCTGCGCCACTACTCCTCTCGCGAGCTCGGAGCGAGGCAAGAGCTGCGGCCGCGCGTGGCCGCGCAACTCAGCATCTGGGAGCGGGAGCGGGTTTCTGCCGCGATGGCGTCCAGGCCCTGGGGCGCCACAGGGGGCGCGGCAGCAGAGGCGCTCGCCCCGGGGCGGGCGAGTCGCGGCGCCGGCTGCCAGGAGGTCCAGCGCGCGGTCCCCGGACAGAGGGGTCGGAGGCCGCGGGTGTGCAGCGGCGGTGGGGGCACTGGCCTGGGCTGAGGGAGCTCACCACTGCCCCCAGGGACGGCGGCTGCTGGAGGCACGGCTGATGGCGCCCCATTCTCGGTGCCAGGACGCACTGGCCGCGCGGTGGTCCTTGACCTCGCCCTTGCGCGGGCCCCCCTGCCCCTTTCCCCGAATGGCAAGCCGCTCGCGAATGACCGCCCAGTTGACGCGGAGGTGGCGGGCCCGGCCCACGGCCCGCGAGACGCGGTCGCAGCGACGCCATTCTCGGAGAAAGCTTTCACGGGACTCGGGATCCCGTCTGCGGGGGTCTGCGCAGACGAGGCTGTTCCTGGGGGGGGCCGTTGCACCACTGGTGCCAGATCCCGCTGAGGTACCCCCGGGCTCTTTCGGGAGGCGATGCACCACGTCGGCGTTGCTCTCGCCGCCGAAGGAGTAGAGATCGACTTCGCTCAGGGGGGCCTTGTACATGCACCAGCCCGTGCCCAGGTCAGTCAGGCCGCCGGGGGAGGCGGCGCTGGGCCCCGAGGCGGCCCAGCCTTCAGCGCGCGGTCGCCGGGTCAGGGCGGGGCCCCAGGACGGCCCACGGCGGGCGGAGTCGCCCCAGTCTCTCCAGTCGGTCCAGCCCCTCCTCTCGCGGCGGTATGCCTCTCGGTCGGTGCCGCAGTGTCCGTAGGCTCTCCCAGTGCGGCAGTTGTCTCTTGAACCTCCGCGGTCGTCCGCGCCGCGCGCGGCGGTCTCGCCCTGGCGGCGGCGCCCTCGGGGGGGATTGCCCTTCGCGGGAAAGGGGGGCGGGCGGGCCCGCCACCTCCGACGTTGAGGGGGTCGGCCACAGTGGACGCGGCGCCAGGTGAAGCTGCGCTGCCCGGCTGAAAGTCCGTTGGGGGACTTGGAGCGGCATCGCCTCCCGGTTGAGCCTAGGCGGAAGTGGAGGTCGGGCTGAGTTCGACGACCGCCGACGGTCTGACTGGCGGCGCGGCGCCGGCGGGGGCGGGGGCGCCATCGGGTGCCTCAGCGGGGGAAGTGTCAGAGACGGAATCGGCGGAGTCCTCCAGGGCGGCGCCACCAACTGCGGAGGCGCTCAGTATTGCACGGAACCTGCGCTCAGGGGGCGCTGGGGCCCGCGGCTGCGCACCGTCGGCAAGGGTCGCGGGGGGGCCCGAGGCCGCGCTGCGGCCTCGCCGGGAGGCAGAGCTGCGCCCGGGGGAAGGGCTGCCCCGTGGCAGGCGCGCTCTGGAGGCGGGGCCCGCCGGGGACCATTCAGGCGGGCCGCTGGAGCCGCTCTCGCGCGGGCGGGCCTCGGCGGGAGGAGGGGGGCCACTAAGCGAAGCCAGTCCTCCGCAGCGCTGGAGTCATTGGCTGGGACGGCCCCCAGTTTGCCGCACATGTCCTGGGTTTCGGCCAGGGGGCAGTCATTGGCCAGCTCGCGGAGGGACCCTTCGGACAGCATGTCGGGGTTCACCTGGCTGAGAAAGGCGAGGAGCGTCCAGCGGGTAGCGGGGTAGGGAGCATCCGCGGGTTGGATCCGCAGCGCCCATGCGGTCGACCCAGCGGTGGCGCATCTGCCTGTCCGTGGAGTTGACGCAGGGGTGGGCCACCATGCGCGCTGCGGCAGGCCTCTCGCCGTTCCAAATAAACTCGACAGGGCAGCCCTTGGGGGCTTCATCGCCGTAGACCTTTCTCAGGAAGGGGGTGAGCTGCTTTGCTTCCCAGTTGTCATGGGAAATAGCGCCACATATATCTCTGCCACGCTCCTTGGCGAAGTCTCTCCATAGGTCATCCATGGCCGGGTCGAGGCCCCGCACGTGCCCGACTGGCGCCGCCTCGATGGGTCTGGACTTCTTGCACTTCTGCTTCAGCCCTGGGGCTGCCTGCAGTTGGCCCGGGGACTGGCGCGTCAGCTCTGGGCCGGCCGGCGGGGTGGCGTCGGGCAGCGCGCGCATCTCCTCCGCGGAGCGGAGCGGGGGAGGCCGCCCAGACTGGTCGAGCCGGAGGTAGCTGGGCCCCCCCCCTCCACGCTGCAGGCGCCCAAGAAGGAGGCGAGGGCGCGGAAGGGCACCAGGGCGCTGGCCAGGGGGGCTCTGGCGGCACAGCAGGGGCGGGTTTGGGTTTGGGCGGGGCGACGGGGGCAAATCAGGTCAGCGTCGCGCTCGAGGAGGGCGTCGATCGCGCCGGGGCGCTCGCCCCAGCCGTGCACGAAGCGACGGCGGCCGTGCCAGGTGGCATTCCCATGACGGGATATCCAAGCCACTGTTCGCCCCCCCCATGGGGGGAGGCCTCCCAGAACGACGTCCTGGGCCCCCGGGGCGGCCTTCCAGACGAAGCAGCCCAGGGCAGCGGCGCCTGCGCCCCAGAAGAGGGACGGGGTCTCGGGGGGGCAGCCGTCGCACTTCGCTGCGTAGCGCCCCGAGTCCTTGGCGCGGGCGCCGAACCAGTCGTCCTCGAGTCGCACAGGGGGGACGGCAACGCCGGCGGCCATGGGGTCGCGAAGCTCGAAGGCCTCAAGCAGGTAGTCCCCGAGGCTGCGAAGCTGAGAAGGCGGCGGCAGGGCGACTCCTCTGGGGGCGCGGTCGAGGGAGGATAGCTCATTGGTGGGGGGGGCCGGCGCGGGGTCCTCGGCACGCTGCCGGGCCTGGACTCTGTCGTGGAAGGGGATCCCGGGGGGGGCGGGAGCGCCTTGCCCCCCCATCTCGCCTGTCCAGCAGGGGCCGCGAAGCCACGTGCAGCCCAGCCCGTCGGCGCGCGCTCGGCGGCGGTTCTGGGCACTCACGGTGCGCCCGCATTGTGTCGCACAGCCAAGTGCCGTCCGTGGACTTGAGGTTGGCGTTGAAGCAATTGTCGCAGCGGAACCAAGCCGCCTTCTGGTCGGGGCTCAATCTGCCGTCGCCGGGGGGCCAGATACGCGGGGGCGCGGGTCGCCCCAGGGAGCGGCGCAGGGGGGGCGCTCTACCCAGGGGGGCCACGGCGAAGGCGAAACCGCCCCCGAGGAAGGCTAGGTCGGCGCCGGGGCCGAGCCCCTCCTCGCTACCAACCAGGTCCTGGTGGAGAGCACAGATGACACATCGAGTGTTCTCCAGGGCGTTCAGGGTGGCAGGCTTGACGGCCTGCTCGAGGACAAGCATCGGCACTTTCAGCTTGAACGGGCGTCGCTCCATGGTCGCGTAGACGGTAGGACAGTCGGCGGCCTGCGCGGCGGGGCGGCGGTGGTGGGCCACCAGGACAAGCTTGCCAACGAGGGCGATGAGCGCCTCGAAGCGGCCTGGCAGTCGGCGGAGGTCGTCAAGGGAGAGCCCCCAAGCCTCTGCGACTTTGGTTCGAAAGTGGGCGCGGTCGTTCTGCGAGGGGCAGCAGATGCTGAAGAAGGCCACCAGGACGCCCCCCGAGGCTAAGGGGTCAGGGGAGGGCCAGAGGAGGGAGCGGGGCTCTCGTTTCATGAGCATCATAACAATGAAGGTGCAGCGCGGACATGGGGGAGCCGCTTCGGTCCAGCTGGGCCCCCCGATGCTTCGCGGGGTCGGCGTGGCCCTCGAGCAGGCGCACCACGGTGTCGAAGTCGGGGTGGACAAGGTCGCGGTTGCAGGCCCTGGTCTCGGGGATATGATGCGGAAGGTCGGCTGGAGCGCACAAGCCCATCATGTGCTTGTCACGGCAGGGTCTCCCCTGGATCTGGGGTCGGGGGGGTAGGTCGTCGGCGCGCACCACGCGCCACATGCGCTCTGTCTTCCCAGGGGGCGCCGAGACCGAGCGCCCAGACGATGGTGACCCACGCCATGTTGCATGCAAAGTTCCCCGCGCCCATGCCGAGATCGACGTCGAAGAGGTACCCCAAGTGGCCCCGCGCCTTCCGATCGAACTGCGCGGGGTCGCCAGGAACGCCCTCGGTGTTAAATCTGCGGGGGTGGTGTCCTGAGACCAGATACAGGACGACAGACAGTGCGGCGTTGGAAAGGAGGTCGCCCGGGGCACGGTCGAGCTGGCGCCTGAGGGCGTTCCAGGAGATGCCTTTGTCTAGGGGGAGGCTGCAGCAAACGTTGAAGCTGTTCGCGCACTGGCCCCGCTTCCCGGCGATGGCCTGGTCGATTTTGACCCTGCCCCCGTCAGTCTGCGCGGCGGCCCTGGAATCTGGGCCTTCGGGGGCCCACGAGCCGAGGTCCCGGGTGGGGTCAGCGGGGGGGTCCACCGCCAGCTCGTCGCGGTTGCCGAGGTTCTCGTTGCGGCCGAAGCGGACCCACAGGCTTGCGAGGCGCCCGTAGTTGAAGAGCAGCTTCAGCTTGGAGTCCTTCATTGACTACCTACCAAACCACCCCAACCCAACCCGAAGGCCCGAATTTCGGGTTGGGGGGGGCAAGGGTTCCATACGTGTTTTTTCGATGTTCCGCGACCCCCCCCCACTGGAAATGGAGGGCAAATCTGAGCCTTCGGGTTGGGTTGGGTTGGTTTGGTGGGTGGTGATTCATGGAGCCCATCATACGCCCGTCGCCGACGATGATTAGTCCGCGCATGGCCCGCGCCAGTCCAACTTTCACTCTGTTGGGGCTGTCCACGAAGCCCCAACTGCGCGTGGAGTTGGCGCGGGCGGCGAGAAAGATCACCAGGTGGACTTCGCCCCCTTGGCTAGAGTCTACACTGGAGAGAGCGAGGCGTTCAGACTCGAGGAGTTTGCCCGCAATCTGGCGGGGCCCATCGAAGTAGAGGTCGACGCCATTGTCGAGGGCGGCCTTCGCCTTAAAGACCCGATTGGAGTTGCGGCGGTCTGGCGCGCAGTCAGCGCCATAAGTCCCCGGCGCAGGAGGCAGGCGAGCGGCCTCGTCGGGGGCTGGCGGGGCGAGGGGGGCGCCCTGTAGAGTCGCGACGCTGGCGGGGGGGGGGGGGGGCGCAGAGCGCACGCGGCGCGCGGCCTGGGGGGGGCACAGCCTGCGGGGCCTGGGCCACGAGGGGCCCCGTCGTCTCGCGCGGCTGTCTGCACGGCCACTGGGCTGAGATGCCACCCGCCCTCGAGGGGCCCCGTCTGGAGCCTGCGCGGAACGATGACCTCGATGGCGAGACCACCTTCCATGGCGGGCAGGAAGGTTCGGACAAGGTCGATCGCCAGGGCGGCCTCGGGGATGTTGGCGCATCCCTCGGCAAGGGGAATGAGCTCATACGACCCGCTGTGCGCCAGGAGAGCGCGGTGGGCATCCCCATCTGGAGATCCCGCTGAGATCGGGGTGGAGTTCGAGGCGCCCCCGCAAGAGGTCCTGACTGCGAACCTTGAGGATCTGAGCCAAGGACAAGTATTTCTCGGGCTCGACATCGCGAACGGGGGCCCATGGCAGGGAAGGCGCCAGGGGTCGATACTTCAGGGGGTCGAGGAGGCCGCCGACGAGTGCCTTGTTGTAGTAGGCCACTGAGGGGAAGAACGTGAGGAAGGGGCGCATGCGGCAGGAACGGGAGAGGGTGATCACCGCTCCTTGCTGCTCCCCGAGGGAGTCGCGCAGCCTCTGGAAGATCGAGAGCGCCAGGCCCACGTCCGCGGCATGCTTGGACATAACGGTGGGGGGGAGTTGCCGCGGGTCACCGACGACGACGAGATGTCCTCCGCCGCGGATGATGTGCACCAAGGGCATTGCTGCGCCCCCTTCGTTCATCCGCCCAGCCTCGTCGATCACCCCGAAGGGAAGGCTGAGCGCCGACTTCCCGCCCAGCTCAACGGCGGCCTCCTGGGCGGCGAAGATGGCTCGGCCAGTCTAGAGAAGCTGCCTCTTGTAGACGGGGAACATGGCATTGCCACCGTGCTCGTAGGAGTAGCTGCCGCGCGCTGCGTGGCAGCGACCGTCGGGGGCGAGGCCGATCACCTCCTTGTCTACCTTTTCCACGCGGGCAAGCCGTGCGAAGCTTTGGGAAAAGCCAACCGCGTCGTCGAGCACGCGGGCGTTCTTGGCAGCGCGGAAGGCCTTGAAGGGCTGGTCCGCGGAGGTGGAGCCAATAAAGACCCTCACTGTTTGCCCCTTGTAGAGCGTGGGCGCCCAGGCAGCGACCAGAGCGACAATGGCGGTTGTCTTCCCCGAGCCAGGGGGGGGCCCAGCACTATCGTGAGATAGTGCTCGGTGCTGAAGTGGAGCACGAGTTTGGACTCTTCATTGAGGCCGTGGGCAACGGCGGCGTCGTCGAGCACGCGGCTGGCTGGAACGCAGCTGGCCATTTGGAAGACTTGGCCGACGTCCTTGTCAATGTCCGCCAGGTCAAAGGTGGGGTGGCCTGCGAAGCCAGGGAGGCCGAGGTCGCCGGCGTCGGGGTCGGCGACGCGCGCGTTCAGGGTCGCGGCTGCCCTGCGCCGCAAGGAGGCGCCGATGGCGTAGATGGGGCACGCCTTGTTGGCGGCCTGCTCGTCGGTGATGTTAGCGATGCGGAAGCCCAGCATGCATGTGAACACTGGGACAAATACCCCGAATAGGTCCTGGGGGTCATGGCTCCGCATGTTGATCTCAGCGAGGGCTGCATGCAGTCTCCAGTACTGAACGTCGGAGGGGGTTTTGGTCGACCCAGTAGTAGGGGTCGCTCGGCTTCCCAAGTGGGTGGGCCTTGCTGGCGTCAGCGTGAAGAAGGCCCGTATTTATCGTGGTTGTCTTGCACGATGCAGCAGCAGCTGGGGCACCTGGCCCCCTTTGGAAAGGCCACGACGGTTGCTCTCGTAGCCCGAGGGGATTGCCCAAGGTCGGGCGGGCGAAGCCACACCACCTCCACATCGGAAAGCTCATCGTTGGTGGGGCCCATCACGGAGATTAACACCCTTCCCATGCAGTGCCCACCCCTTTTCTTATGTCGTAACTTGTATTCGGTTGCCTGTCAAGGCGGTCGTATGTGCGGCCGTCATTGGGTTTTATCATTTCCTGCACCTGGAAGTGGTCGAGGTCCCGAAACTTGCTGTGTTCGTTGGCCTTGGCGATGGACACGCCCAGGGCCACGGACTGCTTCCTCCTGAGCTCGTCGCGGGCGCGCTGGCTGTAGTCGTCGATGGGTTCGAGTGCCGCTCTGCTTTCGACCCACTGGAGGCGCAGCAAGTGATTGCAGCGGCACTGGAGTGCGAACGGCCACTCGGCGGGCAAGGCGATGGCGCAGGGGATGTTGCCGAGGGGGACAGTGGCGAGCATTCTCGCTGCGTGACTGGAGGTGGGGAGCTCCAGACGCCGAATCTCCAGCGCAGCGGCTCCGCCACCAGCCGCCCGCGGGAGCCGGGCGGGCCTCCAGGGGGGTTGGGGTTGAAGGCAGCGCGGCGGTAGGCGGAGTCCGACGGCGGCGTCGCCCGGTCCGTCGGCGGCGTCCGGCCCGCCACGGAGGGTAAACCCCAGCGACGGGGGGGCAAGCGACATGGGGGGGAGCGCCTGTTGCGCGGTTGTCACCAGGCTGGTAGGGAACTTTCTTTTGATCGCGACCGCGCCGAAAGCAGTCGGGCGGCGTCCCCGTCTGGTGGGGATTGTCCGTCGCAGCAGCAGGCGAGCGCGCCAGCAGCGTCAAGGGTCGGGCGGGCTACGCGCGAACCTAATTGCCTAACGCGCCGACTAACCTGCGGCCTAAGCATCACCTAAGCTGACCGGACAGCGAGAGGTGGTGCGGGCTGCAGCTGCCAGCAACCAGGTCCAGGAGCGAGCGCATGCATAATTAGCCAACCGAAGTTGGAGCGCAGCCAAAATGGCGCGGGAACGATACCAGGATGTAGCCAGGAGCACCATCACTGGGAACGCTGACACCAGCTAGGCCAGGCAGAACTCACTGACCAGGAAACTAGTGCATGGAAGCGGCGCCACCAAAGCCGCACACAACGAGACTCCTGAAGGAAGTACTGATCCGGACACTTGTCGTCAAACCGTGAACAGAATAAACACGAACGGCATAGCGGAGTGGCCAGGGAAACGATGGATGTGATCAACACCGTAACTGAACCTGAGCCAAGAGATCAAAGGAAACCACGCGAACTCCCGAACAAGGTCGACGACATCTGAGAAGAACTGACCAGGAACTGGGCAGGTGCACGCCTCAAGCACGTGGTCGAGCGAACACGCCGCAACAGTCAGGAGACCGCCGCAACGGTCAGGAGAGCACAGGCTGGACCACGTGCACTCGGGGACTCCATGCGCTAACGAGGAAGTTGGGCATGTGGATTTTTTCCACGGCAAACAGTTGCCCAATTGCCACTCAGTGCTTGCATCCTCGGCGAAGATTGAGCAACATCACCGGCAGGCGCGATACGGTGATATGCTTGCCGCTGCAGGAACGCAGCCTCCCGATCTTGGCAAAGACCCGATACTTCTGGTCTTGCGCCACACCTCCTCTTCCGGATCAGCTGTCCGAGAGCGCACCCGCTGAGCCGCTCGCGGAGCGGCGCTAGAACGTATCACACTGACTGTGCCATCCAGCACGTCGGCGCGCGCATTCCCTATTACCGAAGCTCACGCTGGCCGCTCAACCATTTCACAAAGCATCCTCGCGGACTCGCGCAAGACAGAGTCATCTTCTGCTGTTCAGGCACATGGCCGGGAAGGTGGTAAGTGTGAGTGCTACCGGCCCTGCCCACCATGAACCTCCAAACAACGTACACTGTATGCACATATATATACACATACATACATACATACATACATACATACATACATACATACAAACATACATACGTACATACATACATGCATACATACGTACATACATATGTACATACATATATACATACGTACATACATACATACATACATACATACATGCATGCATGCATACATACATACATACATACATACATACATGCATGCATGCATGCATGCATACAGACAGACAGACAGACAGACAGATAGACAGACAGACAGACAGGCAGGCAGACAGACAGACAGACAGACATGCATGCATGCATGCATACATACATACAGATATACAATACATGTATACACAACTCTATAGATGTATAGGAAAAGGGAGTGGATTGCTGGATCGCTTGGGCGAAACTGGGGCTCCTGAAAACGCCGCAGCCTCGCGAATCGTGTGCTCTCGCTGTTCAAAAGAATTGTGTCTCTACTGCCGCCTTCAGACGCTTTTGACACCCTTGATGACATCCTAGACGGATTGGGCCCCTGGGTAGGATCCTAGAGAGGCGTGCACAACTCTGCGAAGGTACTACTTCAGCTGAGTGCAGCCCTGCAGGATCCTACTGGAGCTGAATTCGGACCTCATCAAATCCTCTCAGAGCTGTGGCCACCTCTAGTAACATCCTACAACGCTTATTCATAGCCCTGGTGGGACCCTACCAAACACTGGGTGCAGCCCGTGTAAGATCCTGCTAGGAGCTGGGCTCAACCCAATTAAGATCCAAGTGCCCGAATGGGAGGGACCCTACTCAGGCTGGGTGCAGCCATAGTCAGGTCCGAAGGCACAGCCATAATAGGATTCTACAGCCCATGGGGGATCCTACTCGATTTGGGCACTGCCCTAATAAGATCCTGCTTGGATCCTACGAGGGCCGAGCCCCGCTCCTCGCAGGATGGTACTAGGGTTGCACTCAAGTCCTGGCAGTATCCGACCATGGCAGTAGCTGTAGTAGGATGTTACTAGGGCGCACACCACTCTAACAGGAACAAATAATGGCTGAGCCCAGTAGGATCCTACACGAGTGCTGCACCCGGCTCAAAAAGGATCCTACTAGAGCTGGACGCAACCTTAAGCTGGGCACATAACTGGTAGGATCCTTCTCTGCAGCCGCAAGAACATGTTCGAAGTGTTCCGTACAAGCCGACTAAGCTTCTTAAATTGTGCACAACCCTGGCACGATCCTGCTAGGTGCTAGCCCTGCGCTGAATTATGCCAGGAGTGTGAATAGCAGTTTTTCCTCCAGTTGTTCGTCCCCTCCTTTCGCCTCCCCCTATCCTCTCTCCTTGCCTTCCCACTCCTCCCCTCCCCATTCCTGCCCCCCCTTCCCTCCCTCCCCGGGGCCGCCCACTCCATGACCCCCCTCCTCTCACTCCTCCTAACCCTTCTTCACCTCACCTACCTCCCCAGTGGTCTGCCAGAGGTCTCGAGAGACCCTGGGATCTCCAGAGGTATTGGGAGACCCTCGGGGCCTCTGGAAGCGTCCAGAACCGAAGAGAAAAGGGCGACCCCCCCCTCTCCATCCCGCTCGCCGGTCAACTGTCCCCCGCGGCTCCACTTCAGGGGCGAGACGTCAGCGAGGGGCGTCTTGCTGACAAGCCGGCACACCACGGCCTCTGGAGCTGCCGCGCCTCAGAGTGCCCGCGATCAGGGGCTGGGCAGGGGCATAAGAGGACGCAAGAGAGGGGAAACATGGCAGGACGAAGAACAGACAGAGGCAGTAGGAGTGTCGAAGACGGTCTCAAAGGCATCCAACACAGCCGCAAGACGGCCCCCAAGAGGCCTCAAGAGGGCCCTCGAGACTGCCCCGACAGGGCTTCACAGGCGAGCCCGCGAACGGACCCCGAGGAAGCAATGCGAGAGACTCTCCCCTACTTCCCCAAGATGGCCCCGAGACTCCATCGGGGGATCCATCGGGGGGGGGGCCCTGGGCCGCATCCGACAACCACACCTACAGGCAAAGCTGCAGCTGCTTGTCGCTCCCTTCCCTCCGCATCCACCAGGCGTTCTCAGGGGGCGCGATCTGCGCATGCCCCGGCACGGGGAGCCCCCGCGGGCCCCCTGATAAGATCGCACGAACGCAAACAAAAAAAAAAAAAAAAAAACGCGTGCGCTCAAATCTCGACGCGGGCGCTGACCCAGCGGCACGCCGCTCGCGCCGCGGACGCCGCCGATGGCTTCGTGGCGGGCCTCCGCCGCCGCAGCCAGGAACCTCGGGTCCGCCTGAGCGCCCACCACGATCACGCTGCCGATGGCCTTCACGGCCTCGAGCGGCTGGAACTTCCCGGGAGCCCGCAGGCAGATGGGACGCACATGGGCATACTAATACTCTACGTCCTCCTTGGAGGCACGCGTCCGACCCGAACATATAGTATACCCATCTTGTAGTATGTCGTGTCCCGAGCGGTGTGGCCAGAAAGCGCCCGCCACGACGCATATACTATAAGATTTCTCGGTGCGGGCGTCGCCCCTGGGGGGGCGACGCACACATATAGTATGAGTACGTTGGGGTGACGCCGAGCAGACTCCGCTGTTCCAGCCCGCCTCCCTGGCGCGAAGGCGTGCGAATCGGCACCGAGCTTCTTCGCGCGGCGTCGCCGCTCGCGGGAGGGCCGAACGCCGCGGCAGCGGATGGCCGCAGCAGGCGGCGCGGCGCGGTCGTGCACGGGGCCCGGGCACGGGAGGCGAGCCCGCGGAGGGCGGGGGCGGCCGCCGCTGGCGCCCCACGAGCCGCGGAGCGCGCACCGGCGGGCCGCGGAGCACTTCGGCGCGCTGCCGGGCGGAGCGATCTGCCTCGGAGACGGAGCTGGAGCCAACAAGCTGCGTTCAGGTCGGGCGCGTCCCCCTGCAGGCGGTTTTTGGACAGCTTTGTCTTTTATGGTCCAAAGACACTCAAGAGTGGTGAAGCACATTCGACACCTCGCCCTCGCCCCCTTGGATATTCCTCCTGTAGAGGGACGTGCCCGACTTAAAACTACGTGCCACAAAGGGCAGCGCAACAACTGTGCAGTGTTGCGGCCACGCCACGCTGTGGCGTCGCAGTGCTGTTTCCAAACACGCGGCGCAGAGTTTCACAGTCATGTTCATAGGAGCTTCCCCCGTAGGGGGGCTCTACAGCAACATGGTAGGCTTCAGCCGTTCCCAGGGCACCCCAGCACCCCTCCACGTTGGCGGGATTCTCGAGGAGGGACACAACGAAAAATGGAGTGAACCCGCGCGTCACTGCTGCGGGCGAGGCATGCTCATTGGAGGGGAAGGCCGACAGCCACTGGATACTTCGAACCGTGCACGGACTCGTGCCGCACTGAATGAAGCCCTCGGATCATGGTGCATGGTAGGAGGGGATCTGTTGGCGGCCTGGAAATGGGCACCAACACCAAGACAGGGGGCTGCCTCCACAGGGGGGAGATGATCCTAGATCTCGGTGTTGGTGGTGACATTTCGGCCACCTTGGAAGCCAGAATATTACCACCATCACCGAGATCGAGATCTTCTTCCCTCGGTGAAGACACACCGCCGATATTGGTGTTGGTGTCAACCTCTAAGCCTGCGAATCTGGGGACCGGGACGGTAAAGCAACGGAGCCTATACATTTCCACCGCCCGAGGCCTGGCCCCCATGCTGGGCCCAGCAGCGGTGCAGATGCATCCCTGGCCAAGCCAGTGGGGCAGCACACCACTCCTCGGCCCAGGCTCGGTCAGGCTTGGGCAGTGGACGTGTACCCAGACATGCGACGTCCTGATTTGTTCAAGACGGCGTCCCTGGAAGTCCCGACCCTTCCCCGGGACGAGTTTTTCGTCCTGAGTCGTTCTTTGACGGTCCCGAGGACCGGCGAGGGCCCCGCGGGGCCGAAAATAGCCAGAGACCTCCGGTCCTGAGTTTTGTTACGACGAGATCACGTCTGGGTATAGATCCCGTCGCCCGAGACGGGACGAAGAGAGGAGGGCGCCAGAGGGTGGTCCTGCAGCGCGCGCGGCCTCGCACCGTGCGTGCGGCAGGCCCGTGCCGTGACGACGCCGGCGCTGCTCCCCGACACACCGCGTGGCTCGTCCGACCTGGCACGATCGGCGGCGCTTCGATCGCCAGGTCGTTCCACCTCGGCCGATTCAGGGCACCTGGCGGCACTCCACACGGATAGGGGAACGAAGAATGACATAAACATAAAGACTCAGAGGACCGCGCGGATTCCTCCGATCGGCGCTGGGGCCCCCTGGCGGCGCCTCCGGCGCCGCCGCTGGCGCGCTCTGCGCGCCAGGGAGGGGGGTCCAGCGCGGATCCAAGAAATCCGGGCGCACCTCCGACTTCTTATGCTCATGTCATTCTTCGTCCCCCTAGATGGAGCGCCCACGCTGGGGGTCGCCGCCGCGTCGACACGACACGAACCTGCCGCCGCGCTCGATGGCCGTCGAGGAGCGGAGGAGGGAGGGAGAGGGAGGTGCCGGCGTCGCTGAGTGCGACGCCGAGCCCGATGCGAACGATCTGCCAGCGGCCGTCCGCGGCATCGCCCCGGGGCGTACTGACCTGGACCGCCTCGTCGCTCTCCCCTGCCACCTCCACGACCTCTGGGCTGCGCCAGCCCTCGAAGTGTCCATCGCAGGCCTCCCTGCCCGCTGCGCCGGCCTCCTGCAGGGGAAGGAAGGGCAGCACGAGCAGGAGCCGTCGGAGGTCCGCGCGGAGCTCCGAGAAAGTGCATGCTCGTGCGGCTCTTCCTCGCCCAAAGTCCTTGTACTCTATGGCGTAGTCTGCAAGGTGGGAGCTCTCCACGCGCAGCGCAACCCACGGCAGCTTGGACCAGTCGTACGAATACGGCGCCTCTTCCTTGGGGATCTGCTGACCCGGGTCGATCCAGGCCCGGGTCAGTCAGGCCTTGCAGAATCCTGCAAGATCCTGCGAGATCCTGCACCCAAACCCGGGTCCATGCGAAGGATCCTGCAAGATCCTGCAGGATCCTGCGCCCAAGCCCGGGTCAATACGACCCTGCCCCTGCAGGATCCTGCAAGGTCGGGCGCTCTGGCTGACCCCCGTTTGCGTTGACCCCCGTCTCTTGAGCCCCGACTTCCTCCAGGGCGCCCTCTTCCGCCTCTTCATCCGGCGCACCCTGCGGACGGTCCGCGGCCTCCCTGGGCGGAGTGACGGGCGCCTCCCTCGGCGGAGAGGCGCCTGCGACGGGCTGCGGCTCCGCCGCGAAGGCCACGCCGTCGGCGACGGGCTGGGGCGACAGCGGCGGGCGGCCAGGGAACTTGGTGAGAAACGGCGCAGAGACAGCCTTGCTGACAGAATAGGCACGGTTGCCGACGAAGGAGTACCGCGTGTCGACGCGAACCACGTACCAGGTGTTCGGCTGCAGACCACGCACCACGGTGGAGAGCTCGTTCGACAGCGCGTCGTGCAGGATGGCCGCCAGGGAGCCGCGCGACTCCCAGTCGGGAGCGCTGGCCCTGCCATCCACAGGGCAGACCATCACGCGATACTCCACCTCGGAGAGGGTGCCCTCGGTGCTGAACGGCGGCCAGACGATCGTGGCCTCGCGGTCGCCCAGCGAGCGCAAGGACACCTCCTCGGACTGCCGGCCGGCCGCCAAGCCCAGGGGCTTCGGCTCGGGGACCTCCACCTGGACCTCGGGCGTCTCGTCCGACCAGGGCGACCACCGGTGGCGCGTGCCCATGCGCACAGAGAAGCGCGCGGCCACGCCCTGGAGCGCTCCGCGGTAGTCCAGCGTCCAGGTCTCGTCCGCGGAGCGGAAGGACGCACCGCCGCCCACGAGGCTGTCGAAGGCGGGCGAGACCACCTCGCCGGGCAGCTCTGAGGGCAACGACCCGTCCGACCGCAGCACCCGCGTCGGCCGCCAGCGCACCTGCACCCTGGTGGGCAGCAGCCCAGGCAGCGCCTCAAAAGGGTTCCCGGAGCCGGCCTGGCCGGCCTCGCTGCCCATCACCTTCCGGAGCCACTCCGTGTTCGAGGACTGCCACGACAGGGCCACGAATGGCCGGCTGTCGTCGTAGAACGCCTCCGCCTGGAGGTTGACCGGCGGGTCCACGAAGCTGGCGACGGGCTCGGACGCCGCGGACGCCCCGTTGCCCGGGTTCTTGCCGTCTGCTCGGATGCTGCTAGAAATGCCCCTGCCCCAAGGTAGGAATCTCGGGATGGCCCAGACGGCCTCCAGACTCCAGAGCACCCCTCACGCCCAGAGGGCCACAAGGGCTCCAAAATGAAGGGAAAAGCCGGGAGGCACCTTGGGCCAGGGGCACCTTTAGCGACCCCCGATCTATGAGCTTCGGGGGCGACGCGGTCACCAGCCGGTACCGCAGCCGCACGTGCTCGCACGGGACCAGCCACGCCTGCTCCTCGGGGAGGAGGCTGGGCAGGTGCACCTGCTCGGTGCAGTCGACGTCCGCCCAGTCGGCAGCCTCCTCCGACGCGGTCACGCCCGGGGTGTAGGGCAGAAGCTGCACCTATGGCGGAGCAAGCAGGTACTGATACCACTCATGCGACCACAAACAAACAAAAACAAAACAAAACGAAACAAAACAAAACAAAACAAAACAAAACAAAGCAAAACAAACCAAAACAACTAACATCGCCACACACCCACCCCACACACCCACCCACCCACCAACCCCATCCACCCAAAAAATATACAATAAAGAAAGCGAACCGAAAAACAAGCAAAAAGACAAAACAACAGCAACAAATAATACATAAGCAAATATTGGCACAAACAAAACTAAAAACTCTAGTTCGTCGCTGGCGGAGGCCCGGCGGCCTCGACGGCGACGACGACGACGACGAGGCCGAAACATCGATTGGATCTTCCACTGGCGCGGCGACCCCCTAGGCACTTCCTGATCCCGGCGGCGAGCGGCGGGACATCCCAGAAAGCCCAGGACGCGGAAGATGACGGCACGGAGAGAGGACGAGCTGGCCATCGCTCGGACGCCCCGTCCCCGTGCGTTTTGCGACTTCGCGCGTGTATGTTTCGCAGGATGGCCCAGGATGCTCCTCGGTCGTCCTCGCGATCTCGCCGAGAAACAACAAAGCACGCGTCCTAGCGATGCCAAGGGAGTGGATGGGTGGGGGGCGGCCGTCTTTGAATTTTGAGCCGGCCTTCTCAGAAAGCCCCTCGCGCCTTCTGAGAGGTTCTGCGTCTTTCGGGCAAGGCTCAGAAGACTTCTCCGAAGGCCAGCGGACTTCCGAGCCTTCGCAGAAGCCCCGCCCCCTCTCACTTCTGCACGGCTTGCCCCGGGGGCCGTAGGCGACCCGAGGAGGAGGAGGAGGCGGAGGAGGAGGAGGAGGAGGAGGAGGAGGAGGAGGAGGGGGAGGAGGAGAGAGGAGGACAGGTCGCCCAAGCCCTCAGTAGAAACCCTCCAGCCTGCCCTGCGTCACGAAAAAACAAACCCAGACACCCTCCGACGACCTTTGCATGCCCCTTCGAGGCGGGTGGCGCTGCACAAAGTCGCGGGCTCTCCGTGGTGGAGGAGGGGGAGGAGGAGGAGGAGGAGGAGGAGGAGGAGGAGGAGGAGGAGGAGGAGGAGGAGGAGGAGGAGGAGAAGGAGGAGGAGGAGGAGGAGGAGGAGTTCGTCAGGAGGAGGATGCGTCCGTGAAGGAGGAGGAGGAGGGAAAGACGAAGGAGGAGGAGGAGGGAGGAGGAGGAGGAGGAGGGGAGGAGGAGGAGAAGGGAGAGAGGGAGGAGGATGGAGAGGAGGGACGGAGGAGGAGGAAGGAGGGGCTGAGAGGAGGAGGAGGAGGAGTGAGGAGGAGAGAGGGGGAGTGAGGAGGGGGAGGAGGAGGAAGCGAGGGAGGAGGAGGCAGGAGGAGGCGGAGAAGGAGAGGGAGAAGTAGGGGGAGGCGTAGGAGGGTGATTAGGTCAAGAGGCGGACGAGGAGGGAGTAGTAGTTAGAGGATGCTGAGGAGGGAGAAGGAGGATGGAGGAGGGGGAGGAGGAGGGAGGAGGAGGGGGAGGAGGAGGAGGAGGAGGAGGAAGGGGGAGAGGAGAAGGAGGAGGAGGAGGAGGAGGAGGAGGAGGAGGAGGAGGAGGAGAGGGAGGAGGAGGAGGATGAGGAGGAGGAGGACGAGGAGGAGGAAAGGAGGAGGAGGAGGAGGAGGAGGAGGAAGAGGAGGGAGGAGGAGGGAGGAGAGAGGAGGAGAAGTAAGAAGAGGAGGAGGAGAAACCCTCCACTCACTTCCCCCCGGGCTCGCCCCCGATGATCGCTTGGTCGCATGACTCCCGCGGACCTCCTCGTGGGTCACCTTCTGACCAGGACTCCGAGGCGAGCGCCGGCAGTGGCGGCGAGGGCCCAGCGCAAGGAGGCCCCCCCCCCCCGGAAAAAAAAACGCAGGCGAGAGGAGGGTAACGGCGTCCGCCATGCTTGCCCTGGACGGTTTCCCCGGGGCCGTAGGCGACCCGAGGAGGGGAGGGCAAGGAGGGGTCGAGGAGAAGGAGGAGGAGGAGGAGGAGGTCAAGGAGGACGAGGAGGAGGAGGAGGAAGAGGAAGAGGAAGAGGAGGAGGAGGAGGAGGAGGAGGAGGAGGAGGAGGGGGAGGAGGAGAGAGGAGGACAGGTCGCCCAAGCCCTCCGTAGAAACCCTCCAGCCTGCCCTTCGTCACCAAAAAACGAACCAAGACCCCCTCCGACGACCTTTGCATGCCCCTTCGAGGCGGGTGGCGCTGCACAAAGTCGCGGGCTCTCCATGGTGATTTACGCACCGCCACCCTCCCCACGCGACCCACCGACAATCCATGGCGGTGGGTGTCCGTGTGTATGTCTCTGTGGCGGCTGCCCGCACGTCGAGACCAGTCAAGACCGGTGGGGGAGCCGCCAGGGGTGGTTGCACGGCCCCGCTCGCGCCCAGGCTGTGGAGATGCCTCCGGCGGGTCGCGCGTCCGGTGGATCAGACCCATGCTTTTGGGACAGTCCAACGACCCTCGCGACATGGCAGCCGTGGCGCTTGGGCACCCCATGGAGGAGCCGCCAGGGGGTATGACACTTGCCCGTGCGCGGCCAGGTTGTGGGGATGGCTCGGGCGGCTCTCCTCCCCGGCCCTCCCCCCTCCCCCTCCCTGGCCAGTGTTTCGTCCTGGGCTGGTTTCTGACGGCCCCAGCGTCCGAAAGACGACAAGGCCGAAAGCGGCACGAAAAACGATCCCCGAAGTTCCTCATCGAGGACGTCGGCGCTGGGGAGAAACGGACCGCGACTCCCCGGACCTCTCCAGGGGTGCGCCCTGACCAGGAAGAGTTCGAGGCGAGTCCAGCCGTGGCGACGACGGCCCCGCAGGAGGCCCAAAAAAATCTCAAAGCGGGAGAAGTGCAACGGCGTCCGAGGTGTCTTCTCAAAACTCACGAGCCGCTCAAAACCGGTCGGTTCCTGGATAGATCGTCCCTCAGAAGGCAACTACTGGGAGGTTTCCGTCAGAAAGATTAAAAAGAGGATTAAGCCCCATTGGGGGGCTGTTGCACCAGAGGGGGCCTCGGATTTAGCCGGAGTAAGCCGGATTCAGCGGGACTACGCCGGATTAGGCGGGATTAAGCGGGATTGGGCCGGATTTCGGGCCAAGGCAAAATCAGAATTTGACCTCCCAGAAGGTGCGCCCGAACGCCCCAGAGCGTTCAGGGTCGCTCCCGGAGCGTTCGAGCGCGGTCCAGAGCGGCCGCGGCGCCGGGCGGGTCTGTCCTCCAGAGCCGCCCGATCTCGGGGGTCCTCCGTGGAGTCCCAGTCCGGCTTTGGCCCGGTCCTGGCTTCGTCCCAGGGGCCACATGCGAACCCTACCCCTCAGAAATCGTGGGGGGCAGGGGTAGGGTTCGCATGTGGCCCCCTATTCGTCCCAGGGGCCGATCTGGGCTCCCAGCGGGGGGGCCTTCCGGGGACAGTTGCGCATCCCGCGCCGCCTTCTGAAGGCCTCCTCGGGGCCCGCAAAACGGCCTCCGGAAGCAGAAAAGGCGACAAGACTCTGCCCTCGGCTTTCCTCCTCGGGGACGTCGGCGCTGAGGGATCCGAAGGCATGGTTCCCAACTGTCATGTGGTGTCGGGTCCTCGTTCTCAAGAGACAGCGCCCCGCGTACCTTCCTTCCTCCGGCCCCTCCTCCCTCCTCCCCTGCGTGCCTCGTACTCCGAGTTTCTAAACACGCGTCTGGCGTGCGCCACCCCCGCCGACAACCCCACACCGACCCCCGTCGCGGGCAGCCACCGAGCGCCGAAGGCGCTCCGACCCCCGTCGCGGCGCGAACGACGAGGCGAGGTTGACCCCCGTCGGGGTACCCCCCTCCGCTTATTGAGAAACCCAGGAGTAGGCTGAGGCAGGGCAGTGGGTGGAGAATTTGATAGGGGTGATGTGGATATAGGCTGAGATGGGGAGGAGGAGGAGGAGGAGGAGGAGGAGGAGGAGGAGGAGGAGG